CTCCTGGGGCTCCATGGGAGGCATCTTGGAGGCCTCCTGGAGCGTCTTGGGGGCCTCTTGGACAGTCACGGCCTAATTATGGGGGAATCTCGGGCCGTCCTTGGTCGTTTTCGCAATCTGGGAGCGCCATTTCTGGCGATCCGGGGCCGTCTTCGGTCGATTTAACAAAGCTCCCGGCGCCCCGGCCGAGCCCCAGAGCCCCTGGACCTCCCATGCACTGTCGAGGGCCCCATCCCCGCTCCCCCCATTGGCCGTCATTGGCCGCCTTGGCTGCGTGGAGGCCCGACATGGGGCCACCTGCGGCCAGATTGAGGCAATCCGGTTGCCTCCCGGGGGCCTCCTGGAAGCAGTTTTGACGCAACGAGGGCACTCTTGGGCTATTTTAAAACCTCTTGGACGTCTCCTCGGGGCCTTTTAGGCCCTCGGGAAGGTCCTCGTCGGACCACTTGGGGGCCTCTTGCGGCCTCATGTGGGCCTGTTGGGGACGCTCTGCTGTTGGGTCGCGTTCCCCTTCTTGGGCCTCTCTTGGGGCTCTTGGGGCCCTCTCGGGCCGTCTTGGGCGCCGCGCCCCAAGCACCGTCTTGGGGCCCTCGCGGGCCGTCTTGGGGGTCCTCTGGGATGCCTCTTCCTCTATATGGGAGCGGTATTGGAAGCCTCTTGGGCCGTCTTGGAGCATCGGGATGCCAAAAGGCAGAAAAAATTAAAACCCGTCAGAGCCCAATCGTAAAACAACGAGTTGTGCCTCTTGGGGCCACCTTGGGAGATCTCTCGGAACCTCGTCGGCCCTCTTGGGAGCTTCTTGGGGGCCTCTTGGATCCGATCGGGGGCCTCTTGGGACTTCCCGAGAACCTCTCGGGGTAGAAAGCTCGAATTCTCGCTTCGTGCTTCCCTTCTTGGGCCTCTCTTGGGGCTGTCTTGGGGCCCTCTCGGGCCGTCTTGGGCGCCTCAGGCACCGACTTGGGGCCCTGGTGGGCCGCCCAGGGCCCTCTTGGAAGCCTCTTCGGCTATCTTGGAGCTGTCTTGGAGGCCTCTTCCTCCTCCTCGTCCCCCTCCTCCTCCCCCTCCTCCTCCCGCTCCAGCTCTCTCTACTCCTGATCTTCCTCCGTCTCCTGCAGCGTGTTCCGGAAGGCTCCCGCCGGAGCATGCTGTGCACAAGTGCTGTCACTGCTCCCGCCACCGTGCCCTGGGTGGTGGGCCAGAGGCCTCATGGGTGTTGGTTTGGATCTCGTGGTTGGCCTGTCGCGGACGTCGTGAAGGCAATTTCGCAGCTTCTCGGTAGCCGTTTTGGGACCGTTGTGGGGCCTCCTCGGGGCTGTTGTGTGGCCTCTTTAGGCATCGCTTTGGCCTCCTGGGTGCCTCTTGGGGGCCTCCTGGGGCCTCTTGGGGGCTCCTTGTGGCCTCCTGGGGCACTCTTCAAGCGGGAGGGTCGAATCTTGGAGTCATGGTACCCCTCTTGGGCGCAACTTGGGGCCATCTTGGGGCTCTGTTGGGCTGTCTTGGGCGACTCTGGGGCCGTCTTGGGGCCCTCTTGGGCCGTCTTGGGGCGTTCTTGGGGGCCTATTGAGCCGTCTTGGAACGTCGGACAGCCGAAAAGGCTGGAAGGTCACAATCGTTCAAAAACCTTAATAACATTGACGATTTCGGCCTCTTGAAGCGCTCTGGAGAGGCGTCTTGAAGCGTCGTGGAGTGCCTTGGGGGGCCTCTCGGGCCATCTTGGGCCTATCTTGGGCGTCCTGGAGCGGTCTTTCGGCGACTCGGGGCCCGCTTGGGCCGTCTTGAGAGCCTCTGGAGGCCCTCCTGGACTATTTTGGACCTCCCCGGCCGCCCCGTCCTCCCATGGGGGGTCGGAGGCAGCGGCCTCTGAGGCCCAGGACGCGGAAACCTTGTAAAAACACAAGGAAAATGAGGCCCCGGTCCCGCCATGCCCCGCCGAGGTCCTTGGCGGGACCCCCCGGACTACGCCCCCCGGTATGTATGTATGTATGTATGTATGTATGTATGTATGTATGTATGTATGTATGTATGTATGTATGTATGTATGTATGTTTGTATATATATATATATATATATATACAAGATCTTGTTGGCTCGCTTCGCTTCGCCACAACATCTTGTCCCTCATCCTCATCCTTGGCGCAGGAGCGCTGGTCTGGTATCCCGCCGCGCTTTCTGGTCACAGAATGTGGCGAGCTCGTGAACTTCCATTGCCATGTGGGTGTAAATTTGATGTGTGTCGCGAGCTCAGCGGCTATGGGGGATGAAGCATGATGTTATTGCAGCACCGATTCGGAGGACAATGGGTTGGTGGCCGTGCCTGTGGTCGCGCTGGCGCTCGTGTTGGACACCGTGCCGGCGGGCGTGCTGGTGGCCATGCTGCTCGTTATGGTGGCGGTCGTGCGGGGGATGGTGCTTGTGGGCGGTGGTGCTAGTGGGCGGTGGTGCTGGCGGTCACGCTGGCGGCGTGCTTGTTGTCGTGCTGGTGGTCGCGGGGCCAACGTGGGCGTGGGTTTTCATCAGGAGTGAGCATGTAAGGCAGCCCACAGCCACCCGACGGGCCCAAACAATTTTTGGTTCACGTCGACGGCTGTTTTTTCGCACCGGGCCTCCTGGGCGTCTGGCGCCCTCCGGGCACGCCGGCGCCCTCAGGGCTGCGTGGGTGTGTGTTTTCGTAAGGCGTGAACATGTCCGGAAGCGCAGAGCCACCCGACGTGCCGAATCAATTTTTGCTTCACGTCGACGGGCATTATTTTCTTCGGGGCCTCGGATGGGGGGCTTCTGGCGCCCTCCGGGCACGCGGGCGCCGAGGGGCTGCCGTGTGTGTGTGGTGTGTGCGCGTGTGTGTATGTATGTATGTATGTGTGTGTGTCTGTTCGTGCGTGTGGGTGTGTGTGTGTGTGTGTGTATGTGTGTTTGTCTGTTTGTGTGTTTGTGCGTTCGTGTGTGTGCGTGTGTTTTCGTACGGAATCAGCATGTGCGCGGGCGCAAAACCACCCGACGGGTTGAACCAACCAATTTTTGGTTTACGTCGACGGCTGCTTTTTCTTTTTCGGGCCCCAGATGGGGGCTTCTGGCGTTTCGGGCACGCCGTGCCGAGAGGCTGTCGTGGCTGTGGGTTTTCGTAAGGAAGAAGCATGTCCTGGGGCGCGGAGCCACCCCACGCGCTGAACAAATTTTGGTTTACGTCGACGGCTGCTTTGTCTGTTCGGCCCCAAAATGGGGTGCGTCTGGCGCTCTCCGGGCACGGTGGCGCCGAGGGGCCGTCGAGGGTGTGAGTTTTCCTAAGGATGGAGCATATCCCGGGGCGCGGAGCCACCCCTCGGGCGAAGCCAATTTTGGTTCACGCCGACGGCTTCGTTTTTGAGAGCGGGACCGGCCGGCCGGCCAACGCGCGGAGTTTTTTTTCCGAACGTGGGCGTCGCGCGCCCCCCCGCGCGGCGCAGCGCTATTCGCGTGGGCACCTAATTGGGCGTCGGCGTGTACGTCGCGGCGGCCGTGGCCGCGGGGAAGGTCAGCCGGCAGATGAGTTTGCTGTATTCACACTTCTCCGTTTGCTCCGTGTAGTTCATGAAGCGCGGGGCGTGCTTCGTCCTCTTGCCGGCGGCGGCCTCGGCCAAATAATGGCCAGCCTGGGCTCCGGGGCCGGCGCGCGATGTGGCGGGGCGGGAGCCGGGCCCGAGGCCGTTCACCCATCCTGGCACCTGGGTCAAGTCAGCGGCCGCCTGCCGAGCCGAGAAGTATTCCCGGCCGCGCCCCCGACAATACTTCCGCATCTGCTTCGCTATCTCCCGCGGCGTCGCGAGCGGGCCAAGTGGAGCGGAATATCTCCAGAAGGGCGGGCGCCGGAGGTGAGAAGAAGTGCTCGCATGTGATCGCCCACTTGCCGTTGCTGCAGCAAAACGCTGGCGTTTCGGTTGGAAAGAGGGAGGCCGCACAATGCGGGCAACGTCGGTTCATGTCTCCGACAGAGAACGGCACGTCTTGTAAGGGCGGTCGACCCACTACGCTGCATTCACGACAGACGCTGTCATGCGTCCTGTCGCGGTCGCAAGCGAAGGCTTCCCTTGGCAAGGAGAGGCCACAACGAACGCAAGTGACCTGTAGTCGGCGTCGGGACATGCCGGAAGTCTGCGGGGCAGCGGCGGTGCAAGTGATGCACGCGCGGGTGGCTCGGTGGCGTTGGCGGACTGCGAAGTGCAGCCGCGGGACGTCCTGGTCGCAGCGCGTGCAATGTAACGTATCTGCGCTGGGACGTCCGCGAGAGGCCGGCCTCTTGCGCACGGCGGGGGAGTCGCCCGTCATGATCCCAATCGGCGTATGCCGAGGCGGAGCAGCAGCGGAATCCTGGAGCCAAGGGCTACGGGACATCAATAGAGCCTGGCGCGGCCGAGGTGTGTACGTCGTCGCTGTTAGTGCGGGCCTTGGCGTTTGGAGGCCTCATGGGTGGCTTCTCGCCGATCTCCTGGGGGTCTCTTGGGGCCTTGGGGGCCTCTGGAGAGTGTGTTCGGGGTATCCTGGAGCGGGAGGGCCGAAATGTCGGCTCGGATCCTGTCGTGGGGCCTTTCTTGGAGCCGTCTTGAGGGTCCTGGTGCCGTCTTAGAAGCCTCTTGGGCCGTCTTGGGGCTGTCTTGGGGCCGTCTTGAAGGTGTCTTAAGCCGTCTGGGGGCAATCTTGGAGTCCCCATGTGGCCGTTTTGGAGAGGCGGGTGTGGCAAACGCGTAAATCCAAGAATCGTCGAAGACCATTGGAAATCAATGAATTTTGCCTGTTGGGGCTCTCTTGGGAAGGCTCTCGGAGGCCTCTTAGGGCGTCTTGGAGGCCTCGTGGGCCTTCGTAGGAGCAACTGGGGCATCATAGAGCGGAATGTGGGCCGGTCGGACCAGCTTGGGGGTAATTTCGGGCATTGTCGGAGCTGTCGCGAGCCCGTTCAGAGCTCTTCCGGGGGGGCGAATTAGGTGACGCCCATCCGGGGGGGGGGGGTCCCTTATATTTTGATAGGGCACCTGGGTCAAGTCAGCGGCCGCCTGCCGAGCCGAGAAGTATTCGCGGCCGCGCCCCCGACAATACTTCCGCATCTGCTTCGCTATCTCGTTCTCCAACGCCGCCCAGTCGGAGAACGGGCGGCGGGCGGCGCACGCAGCAGAGGCGGCCGACAGGCCGATGGCCAACTGCTTGTCCGAGAGGCCGGTCTGGCGGTAGGTCCGGAAGTCTCGCTTGGTGTGGGTTAAAGCAGCCCCGATGTCATCCAAGCTGGTGGTCCCGAGGTGCGCTGCGAGGCCCCGCGGGCTTTGGCGATGCCGGACACCGATACATACTGCCGCCTGTGTGCTCGGATCCCTGACTCGCCGTAGAGCTCCCTGGATTTCCACGCTCACCCGGTCTTTGAAGCGGTCGGGGTTGCCGAAGCGCGTGGTGTTCATTATGCGGATGGCCTTGTCAATGTCTGCGGCCGCCAAGACCCGGGCAGGCAATGTGTTTCTGCGAAGTAGTGGTTTTGCTGCGCGTTGTTCTCGTCTCTCGTGGAGCTTCCTCAGCAGGTGCTGGAAGATGGGGAATGTGATGGTGGTGATCTTCCACGAGCGGTGGTTGTTTCGCAGGGCCCTGCACTTGCCGTTGTTGATGCCGCACCTCGCTTTAGTCGGCCCGGCGGCAGCACCACCAAGCCGACCCCCATGACGTAACCTATCTTGTAAACTGCGGCACTTCCAACAATGTCCCCGTTTACTGAGTTGGTGCCTAGGGTGCGTCGTGCAGAAACGGACCTTTGGTCGGTTCGGCATCGAAGCTGCGTGTCAGAGGTTACTGTTCCCACTGTCGGCTTGAGCCGATGTGTCGAAATACGGAGGCTTGAAGGATTTTGAATTGTTCGCGTTTTCCGTTTCTGATGCTCCAAGACGGGCCAAGAGGCCTCTCAGACGGCTCCAAGACGGCCCGAGAGGCCCCCATCATGGCCCCAAGAAGGAGAAAGAGGGCTCGAAGACGGTCCAAGAGTCGCCCAAAACGGCTCCAGAGGGATTCAAGGGAACCCCAGCGGCCTACAAACATAATCTTGAAATCGGGTTTTCTGCCTCCAGGAGCTCCAGGGGGCCTCCAGACTGCCCTGAGAGGCGCCCAGGAGGCTCTGAGAGGCCCCCAAGAAGCCTCCAGCAGGCCCCCAGACGCCCAAAAGACGCTCCAAGAGGTTCAAAACATGCTCCGAGAGGTTCGGCTACGGCTCCCAAGAGGCTTCAAAAGTGTGGTCGGTACAATTCGATGGTTACAGGTGACACGCCTCATGTGGTACTTGGTCGGTGCCACGTGAGGCATCCGAGAAATCTACGACGAGATCCCAACGAACACTCCAGAGGCCTCTGACTCACGACCCAGGCGCGTTGGCGGCATGGGCCGAAGGCCATTAGATACTATAATATGGCTGTGATTTGCTTCTCATTTACTTGCTCAGGTTCGTCGTCGTCGTCGTCATTGTCGTCGTCGTCGTCGTCTGCGTCGTCGTCGTCATCTTCCTCATCCTCCTCCTCCGCCTCCTCCTCCTCCTTCTCTTCCTCCTCCTCCTCCTTTTCGTCAGTTTCGTCCTCATCCCCCTCTTCCGTTTCCCTCATTCTTTCCTCCAGTTCGTTAGCTGCCTCTTTTGCTTCTCCTGCTTCCCCTGCCCTTGCTTTTGCTCCTGCTCGTGCTCCTGCTCATCCTGCAAAGTATTTGGAGCAACCCTGGCTCTGAAAACGTTGTGTAGAGATCTGCCGCCGTGCCGCGAGGCACGGAGTGGGCGTGTCCTTGTGGAGTTTTTAAGGGGTGCGGAGCCCGTCGTCCCGAATCTCCTGGGGCTTGCTTCCGCTGGCCTTGCACTGGCGCGCTGCTCGGCGCCGTGGCGGTGTCCAGGAGCGCGTTCTTGATGCTCGCCTTGGGGGGCATCGCAGGCGGCGGTCTGGCAGGAGGGGTCGATGTGCGGGGCTGCCGAAGCGCGCCTGCCGTGCCCGATGATTTGAGCCTCCGACGGCGGCGGGCCGAAGCACGTGCACGATGACTCGCGCGCGCGTGCTGGAGGGCCGAAGCGTGAACATATCGGGGCCCAGAGGTTCCCACAGCTTGCGTGGGCAGCAGTGCGCAACTTCCGCGGACAATCCGACGCGAGGTCCGAGCGGGGCCCGAGGGCCTGCGCCGACGCCCGGCACGACATCAGGAGCGGGGGGCTCTGGGAGGGCCCTGCGGGTAACGCTGTGCACAATCGGCGCGCAAAGGCACGGCCAGGCTCGGGGTGGGAGGGAGAGGGGCGACGCGGAGGACGAAGGCAGCTGAATGCAGAGAGCGATGTGTTTTTGCCTGGGGGCCGTCAAGGGCGGCGGCAGTACGGCTCGGCCGCGGCGGGTCGCTTGCGGACCGCAGCGCGAGGAGCGGCCGCGCTGTCTAACAACAGCTCGGTCCAGACAACGTTTTTCGTGAGGGCGTGTCCAGCAGCCGTGCGTCGCTCCGGCGCTGCAAGAATCCTAAGGTCGGAACGGCGTTGGGCCCGGCTGAGCGCCACGTACAGGTGCCCGTGCGTAAAGGGGCTGCGTCGCAGGTCGATGACGCATCTGGCCAGGGTGCTGCCCTGGGCGCCGTTGAGGGTGGAGTCGTACGCCGGGCGCAATGGAAATTGTCGGCGCACGATGGTTGTCGCACCTTTGGCCAAGCTCCAGCGGAAGCAGATCCGCGGTAAAGGAAGCGTCTGCCGTCCAACGTTTCGACATCCACGTGGTTGTCGTGAACGGCGACGAGGACCACCTGGGCATGGTTCATCAGACGATCCTGAGAGCTAAAGTTCCTAATAATTTCGTAAAGTGCGCCCACGATGAGTCGAATGCGGTGGGGAGGTGCACCGTGTTCAGTTTGGACGTTCAGAAATTCGGGCGTCACGTGAGGTTCGATGAACTGATCGTCCCGGTCGATCTCTATGCAGTCGGCGCTGAACCGATGGTATTCGTCGCGACGGTAGGTGTGTGCGAGGATGTCCAGGACCATGTCGTTGAACGCGTCGACGGTATCGTTGGTGACGGCCAAGATCTTGGACTTTGCGCAAGCATTTGCGTCGTTCGGGTGTGGGAAGCAGAAATCAATTGCCTCGCGGGGTTCCAATATGGTTGGGCAGAGGTGCAGTTCCAAGTAACCGGAAGTACCATCCACGGAGTGCTTCGCCTCGGCGGTTCCATTGCCGACAGTCTCGATCCAGCGAGCGTACGTGAGATCAGCATGTTGGCGGTGTTTGGTAGTGAGCCGGTGGCATTCGAAATGGTCCCACGTTGATGACGAACGCACGCTCATTGCAACAATGTCGCGTCTGGACGCGTGCTTGAGGACAGGAGGGATCTGGCGGAAGTCCCCGTAGCACACAATGACCTTGGGGGAGTAAGTGTCTGGGGCTGCCTTCTGGAGGGTGTCCAGAAAACGCACAACGGCATCCCACGCTGTCCTTTTCGCTCCAGGCCACTCGTCCCACTGTATGACTGAAGCGCGAGCTAGGCGCGCGGCCTCAGCAGTTGCGTGGAGAGAGCAGGGGATCATCATCATCATCATCATCATCATCATCGTCATCAGCAGCATCATCTTCGTCGTCGTCGTTATCATCATCACCAGCCTCACCAACATCGTCAGCATCCTCGTCCTCCTCAGCATCATCATGTTCATCATGGTCAGCATCATCATGACCATCGTGATCATCACCATCATCATCATAGCCATAATCATCTTATCATCATCATCATCATCGTCATCATCATCATTATACTCGTCAACATCGTCGTTCTCAGGTTGTTCATCCCTCGTTCTTACGGTCTCCGGTGTTCCCTCGAACGAATGCCGCCGAGCTTGCTGGAATGGCACGGTGGCGGGACTGTCGCAGGCAGGTGGATATGACAGCTTGCGTGGGGGGCGCGATGGGGGTGGAATCGGGCGGGGCGCATCTGTTGGGGCAGCGGGTGGGTTCCCACAGCTTGCGTGCAGTGGTGGAGGAGGTAATTGAACTGGGGGCTGGCGGGCCAAGGGAGGTCCCCACAGCTTGCGTGGACAGGCTGGGGGGATCATCATCATCATCATCATCATCAGCATCATCATCATGATCATGATCATCATCATCACCATCATCACCATTATCATCGGGCGACGGGGATAGGTGGGGCGGGGGGCATCCGTTCGGGGAACGGGTGGGTTCCCGCAGCTTGCGTGAATTGGTGGGTGCAGTGGTCTGGGTGATGGTTTGGGAACGGGAGTGCGTCGTGGGCTGGGAGGTTCCCGTGGTCGCGGGTCGGGCGACGCAGGGTTCGGGCCGGCGGGGTGGATCACTTCGTCACAAGGGTGGGTTCCCACAGCTTGCGTGGACTGGCTAGCGGGGCGAGAGGGGCGAGGGTCCGGGGACTGAGGTGCATTGTGGCCCGCGGGGGTCCCGCGACATGCTTGAAGTGGCCGAGGGTTTCAAGGCGCTTGTGTTCCGAAAGGGAAATGGTGCGAGTGGTCTGAGCAGGGACATGGTCGGCGGCAGTGGCCCCGGGGGAACGGGGAGGCTAGAGAGAAGCAGGGGCATGGGTTGAGCGAGTCGGTCACGTGACCGAGAACTCGCCAAAGTCGTATGGAGGCGTGGAAGATCGCCAGGTGGTGTGGGGGGGTCGTTTCGGGCAGAAGAGCAGGAGGGTGGTTTAAGTCCCGGTCCTCTTAGGAAAGTGCAGGAGCATCTGCCGGAGGTAGAAGACGTCCTTCTGCCGGGGGTACTTCATCTCCAGGCGGCGCACGGGCGGTTTCCTTCGCATGCGGACGTGCACGTAGTTTTGGCGTCCGGGCGGCGCCATGTCCACAGTTGGTCGAACGGTGGTGTCTGCAGGTATTCGGTGCCATCTTGCAGACAGGGTAGGCCGCTCGCTTCTTGGCGGTTCGACGAGGTGGTGTCCGAACACATCGGGGAAGAAACCGCGTAACGCCACGGGGCAAGTCGTGCTGACAATGGAACGTTCGAAGTACTTTGTGTATTTGCAGCCGAGGAATAGCTCTCGGTTCGGGCGGTAGAAATAGCGCTCCAACTGGGACGTAGTGTGGTCCAAAGCATCGGCTTCGAATCCCTCGTCAAAGTCGACCCAGTCCTCGTCGGGAAGGTGCACCGGCAGACAAGGTACCGTAGGCGCCTTCTCGTACGTGGTGTAGCCGAAGATTCGCCACGCGCATTCCGTGGCGACCAGGTGCCTGCCGCGTAGCCAGTCGGCAATATCGTCGGTCGGCTGGTCTTCCGAGCCGATGGTGTACATGGTGTGGTCGGGTCCCTTGAAGAGGTACTTGAATAGGTATTCGAACAGATTGACATATCCGGCGAACTTAACGTTCGCGTGGCCGTTCCACTTCAACAAAATGCTGGGGGAGTACTCGACGACCAGTCGATTGCAGCAGACATGTCGTCGTCCGTAGGCAGGCCCGGCAGATGGGCAATTTGGGCGAGCGTTAGAGCACGGACGTCGGCGATGGTGCGGGTACCCTCTGGCGTCGATCTCGGTGGTGTCTGCGAACGGCCACGGGCATCCTTTGATGCACTCCTGGGCAGGGTCGTTGGGCTGGCAGGAATGATTGCACCGATGAACCATGTGATGCAGGACGCGCTCGCGGAGTGGGCCATGTTC